ATATAAGTCTACTGCTATTGCTATTGCTATATTGCTATTGCTTCTGCCACATACCTCCCAACGGCCGATAAGATCTCACAGGATGGGCCTCCTCCGCGTGCCGTCGACCGGACAATGCTGGCTGGCGGCTCCTCGGGGGGAGGGCCTTCTCTGTAGCCGCTCCGACCCTATGGAACGATCTACCCCCAGAGATCCAGACCCTTCCCACTCTCTCGGCCTTCCGAAAGGCTATTAAAACCTGGCTATTCCGGCAGGCCTGGGGGGCTGTTGACTGCATGAACGGGGTCCGGCCCCGCTTAGATTGAGTGCGTGACGTGTTCCTTTTTAAATCTGTTTCTCTTCCCTATTTTTAATTTTTTATCTTTTTTAAAGAGTTTTATTCTGTAAGCCGCCCGGAATCCTTCGGGATTGGGTGGCATATAAATTCATTAAATTTGAATTTGAATTTTAAACTGAACGGAAAAAAATTCGAATCCGAGATGGGCGGCATATAAATTTAATTAATAAAAAAAAATGATAACCCCCCCCCACTCATTTTTTTTGCCCCAAACTCCTCCAGGAATAACAAAAACCTACCCCCGAGGTGATTTTTTTTTTTAAAAGAAGTTTATTAGTTTAATTGAAGTTTTAATAGAATTAAACTTTCTTTTTTTAAAAAAAACACGTATTTTGGTCTGAAGATAACGAGTGGTCCTTTTGTACCCCTCCTCCCTCACCCACCCTAAATTAACTCCCCCCCCCACAAAATACTGCCGGGATGGGCCAGGATTCCCCTCCGTCCATTCCAAGACCCCCCTCCCCATCATTTCCGAGTTTTGTTTGTTTTTCCCATTGGGATAGAATTGAAAAGCCTACTACCTAATAAATTAAACATTAATTAAGATCTCCGGAGTGTGTGGTACCTTTGAAGAGCGAGGATTGGGGGGGGGGGAAGAAGGAAAAGAAGGAGGAGATGGGGGGGGAGAGGGTTCGCATCCGGGGAGACCGAACAAAATGACCACTGAGGGTAGCAGGGTGGGAGAAAAAAAAAAACATTTTGCAGAAAGAAATTGAAATAATCCCTTCCCCCCCCCCAAAAAAACTGGCTTTTAACACCCAAAGCTGTGGTTGACCTATTGAATTTAGCCAAACCCCCTCCAGAAACCCACCCACCCCCAAGAGGGGGGATAGGCATACCTGCTCTCCACCTTTCTATCCAGCTTTTCAGAACCCCCCCCTCCCCTACATTTTTAAGGCTTTCCCAGCATTTCCGCTCTTGGCAACTACCAAAACCATGTGCAAGAGTGATCTCGGGGGACAGGGACGCCCTCGCCTGAACCCCGCTTTTAAGTTTGGTGCAGCTAACAAAGCTAGATATTCTCACCCCCCCACCCACCCCCTAAGAGGGGGAAAAAAACATGGCTTGTTCGATATAAAGTGATAGTGGACATTGGCAGAGAAGGAAAATTAAGGCCGGAGTGGGTTTGTCTCCCCTTCTCACCCCAAAGGTGTGACCCAAACATGAATTCCTACTTCGGCTCCAAAGACCAAACCCACCTCCCCAAATTTTGCAGCATCCACGGGACAGAAAAATCACCCCCCCTCCAAAAAAAAAGGACAAAGTTGCAGAAGGCAGGGGGGGGGAAAAGAAAGCGGAAAATCCATTTTTTCCACCCACCCTTCCCCAAAAAACATCCAGGCTCCTCGTGGAAAACCAGGCGGGCGCAGATTCTCAGCCGACGGTCGCTTCGCTCCAGCCGAGGAAAAAGAGATCCCCGTTTTTTTTCCGACCCGCCGGCCCTTTGGCACAGAGAGGAAACCTCCATGATGAGGACTGGCAACTTAAGATGAACTTTCCGCCGTGGGGCGCCTCTTGACGGGTGCAAAACTGGCAGCGGCGGGCATCACCACGATGGGGGAGATTTTTTTCCCCCCCTTCCTGCCTTTTCTTGAGTGATCAGTTTTTATTTGGGGGGTTCAGGAGGGAGAAAAATGGGGGCGAACAGCGAGAGGGGAAGGACCGAAGTTCATCTTGGTTTCCCCGATGGGATTTTAAGGCAGTTTGGTGAAGGGGGAGAGGGGAGCAAGCGGGAGGAGGAAGAGGGGGGGGGTCTCATGGGGGAACAATTCCTTCCAAGCCAGATTAGCAGGCGGTAGGGACCACGGCACGCATGCCCCCACCTCCGCCCCAAAAGTGACGGGGGGGAGAAAAAACGGGGCGAACCATTCTGGATAATCTTAGCCAGAGGAACCCCGTGCCCGAATTTAAGCCGTCTTTCCTCCAATTTTTGGCTTGGCCACAAAACGCAAACACCCTCCAGTCTCGGGTGACGCCTCGCTGCGGGCTCAGGGTGAGCCGGAGCCAGAGAGAGAGAGAGAGANCTCTCACACCTCAATTCATTGCCTTTCCCCCCCCCAAAAATAAGACCGCCTTTTCCGTTGTTTCGGGAAAGACTTTTGCGGAATGCGTTTCTCGGCATCCCCCCCTCCCTCACTGCAGGGAAGGGGTCGCAAAGCCCTTTAGGGGTTCACCCCCTGGCTTCTTTCTGCCCCCCCACCCCTTCCTCAGGCCCAGCCAGCCCACCAGGGTTTACGGCTACAACCCAAACCCGCCCATCCCGGAAGGCGCCCGGCGGCCCCCCAGCAAGACGACCTCCCATCAGAGTCGGAGACAATCGGAAGGCCAGAATCCGGACGTAAGTCGTAGGGGGGGGGGGGGGGCTTTTCCCGGAGGCGTCTTCTCTACCTGCGGGCTTCCAGGGTAGGAAAATCGGGCCGGGGGAGGGAGGGATTTTGGTCGAGGGTTCAAAAGGGGGGTCTGGATTTGAACTCGGGGCCCCGGTCGGTCTGGCGGTGAAGGAAAACGTCACTCTTTCTCCCGCAGCAGGACGTCCTGATGCTCTCCAGCAGCACCGACAGCGACGGAGACAACGTCCGGCCGGCCGCAGAGCCCATCCAGGTCAACCACACCAACGACAGCGACGACATCCAGACCATCTCGTCCGGCTCGGAGGAAGAAACGGGCGCCGACCAGAAGAAGAACACCCCTTCCAGGCTGGGTGAGGCTCCGGGATAGACTGCGCCGGCATCCGGAGGTTCCCCTTTAGGCGAGGAGGCACCACTCGCGGCTGGTCCTCGAACTTAAAAACGGCCGCAAATCGGGGGGGACCCAAGTAGCCACCGCTGAGCGAGAACGTCCGCGCGGCGACTTTCGCCTGCCCCCGTTTTGCTTCGCTTGGCAGGAGGTCGCCGAAGGGGAACCGTCGTAAATGTGAGCCGTTTTGCCAAGTGTCCGGATTTTGATCACACGGACCCCGGGAGCCGTCCTAAGTGCAAGCCAATTGAAGGGCTGTTTCAGATGTGCGACCGCGGGGACGCTGCAGTGGTCATAAGTGCAAAAATCGCCCCCAAGTCCCCCCCTTTTCCCCCCAATGCTGTTATGACTTCCATCAGTCACTAACCGAAGCGTTGAGGACGGCCCACGTCCTCTATTGGCTGCTGCTGGATCCTGGCTTCACCTCTGCTTTGGAGGGTAGAATGAGAGAGTTGGAAGGGCCCTTGGAGCTCATCTAGCCTGACCCCACTCGGGCGGGAGAGTTTCGGATGGAGCCCCCTTTCTCCTTCCTTGCTTGCAGGAGCTGTGAAGAGGCAGGTGGCCGTGAAATCCACCCGGGGATTCGCCTTGAAGTCCACGCACGGCATCGCCATCAAGTCGACCAACCTGGCTTCGGGGGAGAACGTGGCCGTCCGGAGGAACACGCGCCAGTTTTACGACGGGGAAGAGTCCTGCTATATCATCGACGCTAAGCTGGAGGGGAACCTGGGACGCTACCTCAACGTAAGTGCCCGGGGGGGGAGATCCAGGGGGTCTTTCTTCCGGGATTGGCTCCCCTTCCCGCATCTCTCCTGGTCCGTCGCTAGGAGACTCTCCCCTCTCCGTCCGGGGTGGGTTTTCCCCTCTGCTCCCCAAGTCGTTCTCAAGTCGTTCCACGATCCTGGGCTTCCTGGTGGTGGTTTTTTTCTTTGAAGAGGTTTCACTCCCCATCCGAGAAGCTTCTTCAGGTTCTGACTTCAAGAACGGCGTCAAGAGTTGAAGAAGCTTCTCGGGTGAGAAACGAAACGTCTTCAAAGGAAGAAACCCCAGAAAAGCCCAGTTAGTTTCCTCTTGAAAAGCAAAAGGCGCTGAAGGTGGTCCTTCTCCTCAATCTCCCCTTCCCCAGCATAGCTGCAGCCCCAACCTCTTCGTCCAGAATGTCTTCGTCGACACGCACGACCTCCGCTTTCCCTGGGTGGCCTTCTTCGCCAGCAAGTAAGCAGGTTCTTCCCCTACCCCCCCCAAAAAAACTGGGGTTCCCCTCCTTTCCAGACGGGGTTGAAGAGCCTCGTCCAAAGGGGTGGTTTCTCTTGAAAACTGTAGTTACACACATTACTCTGCAATTTCTACAAAGCGTTTGCAAATTCCCTGCCGGCTCGGAGGGCTGACCTCAGAGGGGAAAAGGCAGAGGTGGGGAGCAAATTGTGGCGTGAAATGTGCCAACTTTAACAAGCATTAGATCCAGTTTTGGTCCCCATGCTATAAAAAAGGA